CCCGATAATTAATTTCACACTTTTCGTTAAAGCATCTTTGCCTGTTGTATAATTAAGCACTATGTATGTCTCCTAGTTGCTTGCTAGTTAAGATTGATAAATTTAAGACTTTTTTGGGCCATTTTAGATCCATCCCCATGTTCCTTAGACTCATTCGAGGCTTTTATCGCCCTTTCAGTGTTGAACCTTAAGAAGTTCCAAACTGATTATGGACCAGTAAATTTATAGAACTCTGGAGATGTTGAAAATTCAAAGAATAATGAATGACTACGTACACCCAGTAATAACAAACATACAACAAAATAGTTTATATTTAAATTATTCTCTCTGATAACAGGCGTTCTGGAATTCGAAAAAAAAAATACTTTTCATAATCTCCAATAATAACCATGACATAATTGTATCTTCCAACGTAGCCAGCATCAAGGTATTATGCATGGTGTCTTTCTGACATATTTTCTATTTATCAATAAAAATCTGCATTATGACTAATGCAGATTTTTATTGATAAACAGAAAATATGTCAAAGACAATGGAAATGGGGCTCTTTCTGAAAACAAAGGAATCCTTCTCTAGACTTTATGTAATCAAATGTCAGAGTGGTAGTCCAGTAACTGACCTATTTGAGAACAATATACAATAGTTTTATGGCTGATATTTTGAAATATTAAAACAAGTGTCTTTCACTAATAAACAATTTTCAATTGCCAATGAGAACATAACTAATTGCTGATTGAAAATTGTTAATTAGTGAAAGACACTGGTGTGTTTTGCTTCCGAGAATGCAATTAAACTTTAAATAATAAAGTAAGTGTAAGACCTATATTGACAAAACTAATTGTTGCGTATGGGGAAATGCATTTCTCCATACCTTTTTTTTAAAATTTGAAATCAGGTAAATAATTGGAATATGAATATTTTATTGTAAAATTGAATGAATAAGTACTTTTATATAGACCTATATAAGATGATTGCATTTTAGTATATTTTAATGAAGCATAAACGTGAAAGAAAAATTTGATGACGAAAAATGAAGTTACTTTCCTTTTCTTGTCTTGATTTCTTTGTCAACAGAACATGAATCAAATATGAATCCCTAAAAAGGAAATATATATATACTAAAAACAGTCCCCTCCACAAAAACAAGAATCTGCTAATATGCGAAGAATATCTTTATATCTTTCGATTATTGACAGCAGACAATAAATAAATCTGCGATTTCCATTTTGTTGGCTATTACAGGGCTAGTTGTAATTCAATTATGTGTTGTTTCTAGTAATGTCTCGCTACATACTCGAAATTCACAACTCGATCCCATGTTAATGCCTTTTCTGGAACGTTTCTATTAAATGTAATGTTATTAAATCCCATCTGGAAAAACGTCGTTGTCCTGAGTCCAAAAGCCTACCTTATGAGGAAAACTCGACAGAAAATGACAATATGACAGAGCAGTAAACCGTGTTGATGGTTGTTGAGTGTGCGGGTGGTAATTCAGTTATTCATTGTCTATGAATAAAGTGTTTTTCTGACGGTAATGAGTCCGCTATTTAGAGTCTATTGATTTGATAAATTAAACCAATACGACGCGCTCAACTATATTTGCCGTCTCTTAAGTCATTCGATTTTCAGATGATATTCGCACACATCATTGTTTGCATCTGAATTCAATATCTTAAATGTACGCTTAATCGAAATTAAAAAAAAATTAATCAGTGTTATTTATTTAAAAAGTTTTCATTTTGACAAATCAGGATCCTGCTGCTTGAACATTGAAGACCGCTAGTATTGAAAACAATGATGTCTAGGTGAATTTCAGTTCAGTGACATAGTTCGAAGCCACATGTGTATTAATAAAGAAAAGAACATAGCTTATATATCAAACTTTTGTTCAAATTCAAAAATTTGTAGTTTATGTCATAAAGATGAAGAAATGAAAACCCCTGTATAATAGGAAATGATGGTAGGTAGAAGACATGGGACGGACCTTTAATGGTTGACAATGTCTTTTTTAGTACAGGATCTAAACTTGTTTGATGGATTATCTTATTTTCATTTATAATTCTAAGACAGGAAGCAGTCAACATACGGAAAAATTGATTTCTACAAGAATTTCAAAAAAGTGTAATTTAATTATTTTTGAAAATGAAATCGTCATTAGAAATACATAAACAGTGTGTAAGTCAGGCACTTAGGAGGCAATTTAAAAGGGGTGGGGTTTACAACTGAATAGATCTCTTCGACAAATTCAAAAGTAAAAAAATCAGACATCATCATTTAGGGAGCATGTGGTCTTAGATTAACATTATACATTTATTGACTGGGTTCGAGGGGAACATGCGTTTTGTCAGACCCAAGAACCAATTTTTTTGCCTGAGGCCGTTAGGCCTCAGGCAAACAGTTTGGTTCGAGGGTCGACAAAACGCATTTTGTCCGAGAACTCAGTCAATAAATGTTCTGTTATACCTTTTATTTTTCAATTTTTTTTTGACATGCATGTATCTTATGCTGTCTTCTGTGATGTAAACTGAGGTTATACTCGGTCAAATCCCTCACTGTCGAACACCAACGAAAGCAAATGAGAGTTAGCTCCGCCCATTGTGTGACGTAAGAGGTCCAACATCTCATCTACAGGTCCAACATCTCACTCAGCGGTCAAACATCGACTTTTTTATGACCGCTCAGTAAAACATTAGAAATGTTTGACTTTTTTTCGTATAGATTTGTATGGGAACAAATTTTTAAAGGTATAACAATGGTTTCTATTGTCAAGTATGTACATGTACTGGTTAATTTGTTGGGGAGCACAACCCCCACCCTACCCTGTTTCCACCCTCAACCTCACCTCCAATTCATATGGGCCTGTACAATATGCTATGAAATGCGTCTGATATTTGAAGGATTTATTTAATTTTGAGTGCATGTTTACTAAAGAGAAAAAGTATAAGATTATCTTCAGAAGTTAATAGGATATGAACAGGGATGGGAGTGTGGGAGGGGTTTCCAGGAATGTGCATGTAGAGGGGGTGTTAAACTGCAGACGGCAACTGTTTCTTTTACACACACAATAGGTAGGGTTGATTGATTGATTATTTGCTGTTTAAAGCCGAGTCGGCAGTAATTCAGTCATATTTTTGGTGGGTAGGGATACTTACTCTATGTCTGGTAGTAGGAAAGTATGGCATATAGGATATGAAATACTAGAAAATAGGATATGACAAAACATGATATCGTATAGTACATTAATTCTTATGAAAAACAGCAGAAATGATTTTATCCGTTAAAACTAATCAAATTTAATGGAAAAAGGAATTAATCTACGTAAAGCAATGAATGAATAAAAAGTATAAAAATAAAAATATTTCAGTTATATTTTTTTATCTTAAGTTAAGAAGATACTAGTATATGGAAATATACCACCATGTATCTCAAATGCTAATGTCGGACAGTCTCCTGCAGTGATTAATTGTATTAATTCTGATGTTGAATTAACACTCTCTTACTCTTTATGCTAAGATGAACCACCAATGAATAAGGTAGGGGACAATCATTTGCTTATGAGGAGGAACAGGGGCTGTCAATTGTTTTCGAGTCAGATTAGTCTCCTTCCGGTTAAGCCGGAGGGGACAATAGGTGTCCTCCTCCGCTGACCTTTTCTTGTGTCTGTCCGCCCTATGTCTGTCTACACGTCCACTTGTTTTTTTCCACACCTTTCTAAACGCTTGCAAATGTTGTGATGATTTTTTGTATCTGATTCGATCTTTATAAAGTTTGCAATTTGCTCCTGACGGAAGTACAGCGTTTTTATTTTGAGAGAACCACAATACACCTACCGGTAGGGGACTAGTATTGTTTATGCAGTATTTTCTTTACATTCTTTTACATGGAAATATTTCCAAGATGATTTTTTTTTTCTAGTATAGGTCAGATTTTTTTTATTTGCCAATGGAGGGACGATTATTTATTTTCAAAATTTCAAGGACAAAATGCTAGTATAAACCAAAATCTGCAAGCCCCCAGTCTCCTTAGAAGCAAATGGTCGGCCGCTTTGTTTGTCAAATATTTCAGGACTCGAAATAATTTGAAGGTATACTGGGAAAAATAACGCATGCGCTTCACTCATTTACATAAATCAATGCTATAATCTGTGGCGGATTTAGAGGGGGGACAGGAGCTAGGCCCGTCCTCTCCCCCTTTTGTGACCAAAAATAAGATTAATAAATCAATTTTTGGGTGTGTGATATTGGATTCATAATACCTAAAATACTCGTATAACCAAAATAAGTCAGAAAACAGTTTAAAAAAACTCCTAAAACCTGAGAGCTTCTAGGGGCTTCGCCCTTTGGGTCCCAACCATGACCACAAACTGCCCCCTTTTTTTCAAGATTCCTCGATCTGCCACTGAAAATGTAATATCAGTTACAGAAATAATTATATATTTTTGGTATAGCTAAGCAGATGACATGATACAATTTGAAAATTATTTATTTTGTTAACTATTAACACTGCTCATTTCTACATGTTCAAATGGAAAATTCCACAAGGGAGGGGGGGGGGGCTCAACATGACTATCTTGAAAACTTATGAATGATTGTAGATTGCATCAAAATATTTAAAGGCAAAATCAGTACAGTCATGATATTTTGAATTTGAAAAGACAAAAGTGTTATAGTTAAAAGAACAATTGTTCTAATGCCTGGTATGCGGAAATAATTTCTTTAATTGTATTTACAATATATAGCGGAGTGCGTCAGAATTTACCTTGGATGAGCCAAGCTAGTCCCAGGTGGACAAGAATCGAAATAGGAAAAGTGAGTATACAGCAAGATCACCAAACAAATATCAATTTGTTCAGAAATAATCAATTTTTCATGCAATAACCATATCAATGATCGTAGGTATTACATGTATCTGCCAAAGCGACATCAAGCAAAATTCAATTTTCTTTTTGCAGATGATCTCAGATATAAAAAAAAAAAATACTGCACACAGAAAGAGAGCAGCAGAAAATAGTATGATAGAGTCCTGGTAAAGAGGATTTATAATTACGGACAATTGTTGTACAGTTGATTATTCACCTTTGTTTTGTAAGCAAATACAAGCAACACGCCGTCCTACACATGGAGCTACAGAGATTCTATCAACAGAAAATCAATGCATCGACATAAAACGTTGTCATGATTTGGTAGACTCGCGACAGTAGGAGGCATGGTACTTTCAATTGAAAGGTCTAGATTAGAGTGAAATCCAAAATTTAAAAAATGAGTCTATGTGGATTTACTGGAAAAATTGACCAAAATGAAACAGACACAGCAAATTGTTCCATGAATTGTTCTACATTAAATTTGATGAATAGTACTTCCTCGATGAGTTGGATTAGTACAAAAAATGTGATAAATTCTGGAATGATGTTTGCCAGTGGTTTCTTTGGGAATCTGTTAGCTTTAATTGTGTTGTTGAAGTCGAGTAAGGAGCAAAGAAGGACGATATTTTACCGACTCGTTGCTGGACTCACCATTACAGATTTGATAGGGACCACTTTGGTCTCTCCGGTCGTCATAATTGTGTACGTGAAGAAAATGTGGATAGGCGGCGACTACTTATGTACGTACTTTGGATTCATGATGATAATGGCAGGATTCTCCACCATGACTATTGTCTGTGCTATGTCTGTAGAACGGATATTGTGCATTAGACACCCTTATATTTATTATACTCGACTATCGAAAAAACATGCCACCTTTATTCTAGTCGGGTGTTGGGTAGTATCCGCAATCATAGCTTCATTGCCCCTTTTGGGATTTGGAGAATTCGTAAGAAAATACCCTGGAACTTGGTGTTACTTTGACTATTACTCCAAAGAGCCAGTTCATATAGCATTTAACTACTTCATCAGTATTTTAGCCATGAGTATTATCATTGTCACAATGGGGTGCAATTTGACAGTCATTTATACAATCCTCAAAAGCAGACAAAAACAGGGAATTCTGCGGAAGGAAGATGGTACATCGCGGTCCATTCATGGCGCCAGCAAACGTTACGCAGAATGCCAGATGCTTATTTTGTTGGTAGGGATAACTATTGTCTTCAGTGCCTGCTACACTCCACTTTACGTACGTATTCACATAGATTTAAGTTCACTTGTACATAAGAAACAGGTTCATTAAAGTCTGGTTATTTTCCAGACTGTCTGTAGTGATTTGATAAACCGTTTGATATAAGTAAACAGAGTAAGATCATTAAGAGTTAGGGATTTGTGTACACGACAGTCAGTAATTGTAACCATGTGGTCATTCTTCATACGCACCAACAGCAATTTTTCGCACACGAAGTTACGTTCCAAAATACATGCATGCTATAAGTCAATTAGAGATCATCGAATAAACAACTTACCTAATATTTACCAATTGTATCAATATAGACTAATGATTTCCAATTGCAGCTGCTTTGAAATATGATATTTAAAATTTAATATGAACACAACTTTAAAAAAGCTAGAATATGTGACATCATATAATTTACATGAAACGTGATCACGTTTGTATCTACATGTAATAACAATTCGAACGCTATTAATAACTATGCAAGTCACTTTTGGCATTATGGTTGTGATTGCAATCGGTTACATAAAAAATTCTGAAACCTTATCGCTCAAGGAATTTTACAGAAATTTCGTTTCATAAATCAATTAATGTGTATTGTTCTTTTTTGTACGCTGAAAAAGAGTATAAAACATGTATTTCCTGTAATTGAATATAATACTATCATTGAGAATACAAAGAAACATGAATAATTCAATATCAAATTGAGACAAATATGTCAAAGTCCATATACCGAATTTCTTTTTGGATTTCTAAAATCAGTTTAATAGTGCATTTCACCATCTGTCGTCGGACCATTCCTCAAAGTTTCTTAGATATTCGTGTAGCTGGTGGTTTATATTTCCTCACATCAACTTGATATAAGTATTCTGGTAATTTTCAGAGATGACCATTTGCTTTAGAACTCACCATAATAACTTAAATTTAAACAATTTGATTAAAGGAAATATCCAGAATTTCAACTTCTGGTATATCATGTTTATTTTTTATATCACTCCTTTGTACCCCAGGGATTGATAAACTTTTTTTTAATTTTTTTTTTTTATCAGAATTAAAGACTCAGGGCTTGGTACATGTAACGATGTTAATTAATGGAATATGTCTTTGAGTAGGCATTGATTCTTACCGCCGAAATATGGCTAGAATACTGCACACTTGGCGTTAAACAAAAAATAATTAATCAATCAACTAATATATCCACAGAGTATGATTTGTTTATTGTTGAATAACCTCAATCCTCTCGTGATTGAGTCTCTTGAGTGATTTCCTGAAGATCATAACACAAACGTGTGAATTAACGACATTGATTTCCAAAATATTTTCGTGTTAATTTCAGGGGTCACTGTGTCATTCAATCGCAGTAATTTGATAAAGGTAACAGATGTCGTCCAATGGGACATTTAGTCTATATATAATTCATTACTGTATCGTGGTTCTACAAGGTCGAACTTATCGTCTTAAAGTAGATCTATATACAATGCATATATCAAATAATTTAAACCTTGTTTTAAAGTCCATTATTTAAAAAAAAAATTCAAACAATTTTTTGTAGCATTGAATTAAGGTGCAAGAGAGAGCTGTGGGCGGGATAATTAATTATTTACTAAATAATAATCATTAACAATAGACAAAGCAAGAATTGTATGTTAAACATTTAGAAAGAAAACTGAATGCGTGGGAAGGACTCTGCTAAAATAGTTTTTTCATGACCCACCATCCCTCCCCGGGCAGGAGTTCTGCCTCCAAGGTGGAACAAATACGGTAAGATAGTGAAACTATATAATCTTAGAAACTTCTTTGCTCTACTTCTGCATATCTTGAAGACAAACTGAATGCATGGTTTGGAAGAGCAGGAAACCGCCTACCCAAAAATTTTTCATAACCCTCAAGGAAGGGGTTCCGCCTCCAAGACATGATCGAAATGGGTCATTTAGTGAAATGTACATAATCTTTGAAGAATCCAAAAAAATATTCTCCTACATACCTTGAGGGAAAACTGAATGTATTATTTGGAAAGTTTGAAACCTTCTGCCAAAATAGTGTTTTCCATGAAACCTAGAGCAGGGGATCTACCTCCATGGCGGGGCCAAAATGTCTACATAGTGGAATTGAATATAACCTTAGAAAGTCTGTTTTACTCCAACACATCTTAAAGATAACATGAATGCAAATTAAGTGTTTTTAAGACCCCAGGACTGGGATTCTGCCTCCAGGGCAGGGCCAAATAGCCATAATTATGAATATGTAATCATGGAAGATCTTTTCTCTACTTCTCAATCTGCACATCTACATGTAGCAGTAAGCTGAATGCATATTTAGAAAAGAACCCATGGTTCGTGCTCCTAGGCTGGGATTAAGTTGGTTATGTATCAAAATACCTTTATTTACTTCTTTAAAAATCATCATTTAATGTGCCCATCGACACCCATCGGGCAAACTTTTTAAACTTTTATCAGCATCTAAACCTACAAAAGAATTATAATTAATGTCCTCCTGCTTCAGGAGTCAGTCCTCAATGAAGGGCTACATTATTCATGCTTGTATATTGAAATTTATTACGCACGGTACCTTATGGTATCTTCTTTATTTCTGAACTTCTTAGAGACAAAAATGTTAATGATTATAGTCTTCACCAGTCTGTAAATGTTTGTCTCATGAGTCCAGATTTGCAGTTTCGGGCGTGGCCAAAGTGGCCATAGCTTGAGAAATTCATGATATTCAAGCCCATGAGCAACTGAGCTCGAAATCATGACGATAAATTCCTTTTTTTGGTACTCTATGTAAAGACTACTCTACTCGTCTTTTTGTTGTATTAAAACAGCAACCAATCCCACATACGCCCTTGTTTTATATTCCTAATTATATAAGTCATTGTTTTCCTTGAAATAATGTTTATTTATTTTCATCACAAATAGTAGGCCGTGAAGGAGGAATGCTGTACGAACATTTTATTAAATGAATCTTTACAACATCTCTTTTGTAATATGGTTTCAGCATGGAAAGATTGATATAAGCTCTTACCTATTTTTTAATGATTTTTTTTTCAAAGAAAATGTAAAAATTGTTTACTTTGCAAATAAGATGCTTTAGCGGGGCTATACCGTCGTTTAAGATCACCTTTTTTCTTGCCAAATGGTTTAATGCATGAATGAAGGTCAAGCCAGAATGAACGATTTATGACCAAAAAGTTTGATTTATATAATTAGGGATCGAACGGAATACAAGCCTGAAAATTTTGAGAAATCATCTTGTTATCAAGGTTTAAACTACATATTGTACATTCTCTTGCCAGATTTCTTTCAAATTACTGAAAAACACGTTATGCCAACTTCTGTTTCGGAGGATCACACAGCTCATTTTATGAACAAGTTTCAATAGTACATTTCCTTCCAGATTTCTTCTATATTTCCAAGGGAGAAGTTATGAGATGACATATATGTGCTGTATGTTACGTGTGTATTATATAAACATGAGCAATTTCTAGCCGAGGGATAGCAGATTTTGAGATTTTTTAAAGAACTGTTTCTAGACTTTGTGATTTATTTTAAATTTGCATAACATATATAAAATAGCTTGGACTTATGCATTGCAAACGTTCCATTTTTAAAAGTTAAATTTTACATAACTGAGAAACGTTTGAAACAACTGATTTTACTTCAAAATATTTTAGCATGCAGACGAAAATCGATTTTGGTCAGCTTGTTGTCACCTCCTTAGCATATATGTAAGACGATATATCGTATTCTAATCTATTTGAAAAAAAATAATCAAAAATAATTTCCTTTTATATTGTATATTACAGGATGAGAAATTTACAATGTCATATGTTCCAGATATCTTAGTAGTATTCTGATAAAATATTAATGTTAACATCGTAAAATACGGGCTTGAGTAATGAATCAAGATACTCCAAGAAGTAAAAGGAAAATCCATTATTTTTTTTGATAACCTGAGGGTGGACAATTCTGAAGAAAAAAAAATAACATCTTGTCTGAGAGCGCTAATAGACATTGTCGAGAGACCTACATAAACCATTCCATAATCCCGAGAGCAATTATACTAAGAAGAGTCCTCTTTCCAGTACAATTTACCTAACCCAGCTTTGATTTAGCTTCTTTTTTTTTAAATTAAATATTCCATTGAACTATACTTTTTAACTAAAGCAGACTCTGTATCTTTATATCATTTTCAGATTATGTATACTATAAATTCGTTAATAAGAATTAATATATTACTAAAATTTTTAACAATCTAAGAAAGGCTTACTTTATATATTTGTCAAAATCTTAAGTCCTTGGATTTTTTAAGCGAGCGCAGATGGTGATTGTTTCAATTTTTACATTTTCAATTACAGTATATAACTGTGAAAAGGCCTATGAGATTGTTTATTTAATATTTTCATTTCTTGTTACGTTCGTTGAAGTAATTCTTCTCTTTTAATTACGACATTAATTTTGTTAACGGGCTAGACGAAGCATTGCTGACATATTTTTCATTAGATGCTGACTTAGACGATTATTATTTGGTGAATATTTTATTTTAAACATGCATATAGAAAGCAAATTTTGTATCATTTTTCAACTACCGAGGAAAACCCTGAGCGACATACATCCTCTGAATATTTTATGACTTTTCCCCCCAGTTCTCATCTTTTATCCATTTTATGATATTAACGAAACGTATAATTTTTTGTGTGTTTTTTGAGATCGATCACAGTTCGTGATCTTCACATTGCTCATTCATAATAGCAGAATAAAAACCAGGAGTAAAAATATGGTTTGCATTATATCAACAACCAAAAAAATGTTCTGTTACGATATCGACAATGGTTATTTTGACTGATTTCAATTCGTTTCATTGAAATGTTATGGAAAAAATATTACACTATTAGAGCTTTTGAAAATAGATTGGAAAAGTTTATCAACACGAATCTGGTATAGTAGTTTCTCCCTAAACATTAGCTAGGCGGTGGTGGTGGTGGCTAGGGATAAAGACTTCTATTTACGAGTATACAACACCAGATTTTGCGTAGGTAATAATTACATCCTCCGACAATTGCAAAGGGAGGTGTCTCAGAAGATATGAAACCTCGCTAAAATATAACTATTGAAAGGATCAGTAAGAATTACAAATTAGAAGTTATGTACAAAATCTAGTCATCATCTGGAAATCTTGTAATACCGGTACCACTAGTTTTAAAGATGTCAATGATGAATTCATAATGTTCTGTCGTTCTGTAGAATAATGGCTGATTTCGATGGCAATTCGATTCAACGTGTTATACAAATCTTAGAAAAACTATATAAAAATGAAATGTATAGTTAAGGAAATTGATATATTTTATAACCAAAGCTGTAAATTCATCTAAAAAAATTAACTTTGAAAGGCCAGAGTTATTTTTCATAATTACTGTAATTGAACTTTGATATGCAACCAATAGAATGAAACCCCTTTGAATAAAACCAGACTAAGGTTGTGTGTGTGTGGCATTTGCTTATTCCGTTTCTTTGTTCCATGTATATTGGTTGTATTTTACTCGACAGGCATTTAAATTGTCAGGAAACATTTATTATTTTAATTATTAAACATTATTAATAAATTTAAAATCGGTATTCTTCTTGGAGTCAGATTTCAATATGAAGTCTGATTAAATCCCCTTTTACATTATAAAACATATAGTGCTTTGGACATCATGCAATCACGTGGGAAACGCAAACTATACTGGTATATTGTTCCATGTATTTCTTTCCTTGTGGTAGAATTAAATTTGTATGGAAACATGCAATCACTTGAATTAAAACGCAGCGGGTGATAGTTGTGAACAATTTCAGAACCTAAAAGATTCAACAAAGTTTCAGTGACAAAGATTTTCAGGAAATGAAAATGTCAATACGTGTTTTATTTATTTAATCTATGTGTTTGTAGAGTTAAAAATGACGACATTATCGTTCTTAAGTTTGATCCCATAGGAGATAATATTTCTTCTATTCCTTGGAAACTAACAAATAAATTGAATCTGATATCAGTCATGGTAGAAGAGAGGGTTCAGCATTGTTTATATGATTTTGTAACTCTTTGAAAATTAAAGTTTTCAAAAATGTGTAAAAACCAATTGATAAAAAATGTACACGTTTATGTAGAAATGTTAAAACTTATTTCTGAGAACTACATTAGAACATCCCAACAAGAACAGTTAACCATCTGACAATTGAGAAAAAAGTCCTTTGATTTCCGTCATCCAACGGGATAAGAATTGATCTTTCGTCATTCTTTTTTCCCCTCGCTTTTGATGTTAGATTAAATATCATTAATATCGGTGATAATCTTATTTGAAGCGAAAATGATGCTAATTCACTTTAACATGACTGTCATCTTTAGTCATCTTTAGCACGTTTCCTTCGAAATCAATAATCCTACAATGTAATACTTGTATATTAAGCTTTTCTGTACAGTTCAGAAAGTTCCCCCACTGGTTCAACCAAGAAGCAGCTAACTAGTACAAATTCACGATAAATCTGTACAGGCCTGGGCCTTTTTGCTTCTTATTTTAAATGATAACTATTCATTTTCCTGGGATCTATTATTCTTATACCAATACGATCAAAACAATGACATAATCTATTTCTGCTCCCAATGAAAATTATATTCATTTCTTAAGAATGTCTACCTCGACTTTAATTCAAACATCGATGACTTAACTTTTCAATCGTCAAGTTCCCTTAATTATGCAGAAATATACCCTTATCACCTGGGGTATATATATCTCAGTTTATTCGATACGCAAGGGCATGCTCTACGTATGAACAATTTCTAAAACGAGGTAAGTTATTGACAAATTAGTTGATGAAACAAGAATATCAACGATTTCGTTTAAACTCATCATTTCGTAAGTTCTATGGTCGATACAATTGATCTTGTCAGCAAATACAATCTATCACTGTCATATGCTGACTGACGTTTTTCATACTTATTGTTAGGCCATTATTTACATACTGAATTGTCGACGGATTTTCCCGTTATTTACCGATTATGACAAGGAGCACACAGCGGGTGTGACCGGTCGGCAGGGGATGCTCACTCCTCCATGGCACCTGATCCCACCTCTGGAGAACCGTGTTTGCTCTGCTCCCGATTTGTATTTTTTTAATGGACTTTGAGCTTGAATACTGGTCGTTATTTCCATATTTCATATATAATAAATATAATACTCTACACAGTTTCACTTAAGTCACTAGAAATACTTTCTAAACAAACTGTAATGGAAAACGTCTGTAAGTTTTAGTCATAAATACATGTTTATTATGAAGAGATAGAATGCAAAGAAAGTCACCCTACTGAAATCTGTGGGTGACATATTTTATGGTTGGTAGTTATAACGTATACTTGTATTTAAACTGAATATTTAATGACTTAATTTCTTCAAGTCATATGAACTGGTTCATACAGATATAATACACAACTAATTTTGTACTTCTTTTTACTGTTTTCTAGGTTAGAATTATAATGAACCAAACAGGCCTTGTCTGTAATACCCTCTTGGATTTACAATTGATCCGCCTGGCCTCATTTAATCAGATCCTAGATCCTTGGGTTTACATACTCCTCAGGCGCGAACTTCTATGGAAAATAATATCTGGTGTGAAATACATTTTTAATCGGAACCAATCTGACAAAAATACCTTAAAACAGAAAACTTTTGATGTAGACAGCGCTAACTGTTGTGTGTTTTGCTTTCACTGTTTGTGTGACCCTCCGGTGGTACGACAGCGATCCGGATCCGTTTTCTCTCAAGACAGCCAATACATCCGCGCATGCCCAGGAAGGAGTACACTAAATGCTTCCAGTGTTTCTAACCTGAAAAGCACCTCACTGACCTCTTTAAATGGACGGCAGTCAGTCCCATTGCGGGTCTCTTCAGCGAATGACGTGCATATGTTACTGCTCAATAATACACTAAGAAAGCATGCGACGACCAAGAGTACCAACACACGGTTCGTGGATGACATTGAAAATGATTAGCACACGTGTGATTGTATTTTCTTATACACCGGTACTGTCTCAGCTAAATTTCGTGTACAATCAATCTTTACATTATGTTTTTTATATTTATTACTGTATACTTGTATTTTCAATATACTTTTTCTAAGACAACATTTTTTCACTATATATTTTACATTCCAGATCGTAAACGTGATTAACATTTACAAGAAGATCCATGTTTCTTTTAAATTACTAATATTAACGAGGATGATGTTCTTTATTCATTATAACGATAATGTTAAGGCAAACATGAATATCTGTTACCATTTTTTATTAAATAGATACATCTTATAACCCATATCTACTTCCTTTAGTTTAAAATAATTCGGGAACGATTTTTAACACTAAAATTTCTTTTATATTAGATGTAGCAGTTACTGCAATTTGGCGATTCTGATAATGCAAAAAAAAGTCTTCTTCAGTTTTTGAATAAGTTCTGTCTTTGTCGGTTTTTTTTAAAATATAGATATGTCTTCTACCTAACCGTCCCCATCCTAAAGAAATGGAGATAAATTGATTTTGCTATAATGGGTACCTGGCCATCATATAATGATGCCTGAGCGTATTGTGTTCGGAGCTTTTTGCAGGAATTTATCTAAGCTTTGGTATATCCATGATCTAATGCTGCGTTTAGATCTTGAATCAAGACAATATTACATTTTTTAAAAGTCAAGATCAATTTACAATTGAATTGCGTCTGGAAGACAGCTTGTAACTCTTGACTCAAACAGAATGATATTGACGACGGGGACGCTTAACTCAAGGTCACAAGTCAAACATCAAGGTCAAACATCAAGGTCACTATTGAATATAGTTCATAGGTAATTATCAATTATCTTTGTGATTAAATTCATTCACCACTTAACCACTAAAGTTCGCAAAAAACTAATATATAAATATTTGCGAACTTTAGTGTTTAACTTTACATCAGGGTATGAATGGAAAAGGAAGGAGACAACATCTGTTTTTGACCTCCAAAAGTATAGAATAACTTCCAATTTCTAACACACACACAGTAAGTAAAAGAGCTTTTTTTAAAATAACGTTTATGTTACCCACTTTCTTGTTACCCTCTACCAATGGTATTGTTTTTGTTTGTTTTTTTTTGTTTTATTAAATCAGAATTTCAATACATATCTTATTAACCTATAATACAATATGCATTCATAAGTAATTAATAAGGATCTTCTTTTGTACGATTGATTCAGATAATAAACACTCCTCAATTTTATCATCTTGTATTACAGTAAACGCATACATATATTTGCATGTAACCAGGGACCTCAATAAAATTCTACATTTATCTATTTTGGTCTTTTCCTCCAAATTTTAAATTAGCCTGGATAAGATATTGTACTTGTACGTGTAACAAGCTTTATTTCAAATGTTAGTAAAACATGTTTCATTTACATTTCATGCCTGCAGAGAAAAAAGAAAAGACACGAATAAGATAAACAAAAAATTTTAACGTGATAAGTCAAACTACATGTAAAAGTGTATCAAAGTCCCCCTTAAGATCAGAGTTAAGGAATTCTGACCCCTCTCCCATGTACGTCAATGATTTATTTATTAACACAATATGACCAGTTTTGATACAGCGCAAAACTGTAAAGAATTTTCGCAGATAGATTTTATCTTCAAAATAAACATACGGAAAACCTAGAAACTATGTAGATAACTTTTCAAGATACATTTGACTTCTCTCATCCTGCGATGGCGAGTGTTTTCGTATTTCTGGGATTGTTATTTGTTGTAAATGTATGTGGTAAGTAAATCTTTTATATACAATGATTCTTACGTATACTGTATTTTGTTTTACCGATGCATGTTAACAATTAAGTTTGATTCGTGTCAGTCTGAGACCTATGTATTCTAGAATGGATTGCCCAGAAGTTTATTGATAGGTTCAAAAGAAGTTAAATAAAATCAACTATCTCTTTGGCAATCAGGCGAAAGGTTCCCTTTACAACATTTTTTAAAATGTTGCACAAAAAAAAACACAAAACAAAACAAAACAAGAACAAAAAAACAAAAACAAAACAAAAACGTAACAGTAGTAACAGTACTGAAAAAGTATAAAGGAGTCATGTCAAATCTGGGGGTGTGGGGGGGGGGTTTACAATTGGCCCAATTTAATAGCATTTTTTCCCGTTTATTATTCAAATCTTTTAAATCAGAGCACTCTAAAAGCCTTGAGAAATCCAACTTTGCTGTGTTAATTTCCCATTCCACTAGAGAGGGCATTGACAGTAACAAACCCTATATAATTCTACGGCAATCCCCTCTGGAATGGTAATAAGAAGATTCAGTTTCCAATTCGGAAACCTAGATGTAATCAATATTTATTAAATTTTCCGTATTTTCATCACATACAAAATTTTTTAATAATTATTAATGACGGATTTTTAAACTTTCTTTACCCTTTGCGTGTTTATAATGTTGGCTAGCTGCACGCAATCAAGGAAGGTTAAAATTGCGCACGTTTCACAGAAAAAGACTCGAGATTTGAATTTATGGCAATGCACCTAAGGGCAGATCTTTTGAGGCACAATGTGTAAAACTATTTCGACAAACAAAAAATAAAATATAATGATTAAAAAATCAAATTAACGCACAAAAATGAATCCAGAAAAATTACAGATACAGAAATTAGTAAAATAATGAAAGAAACAAGTTGCCCCAAGGTCATTACACTCACCCGAGTCACCTTTGCCTTGCTCTTTTTCTTCCAAAACGTTGAAAGGGTGATTTCTCACTTTATTCCAATTGAACACTCTTCACCCCATATTGTGGCCAAAACTTAGCCCTAGAAATCATTAATTATCTGAATTTAACTTCTAGAGGATGTTTGAATATCAATATCGATATTCTAGACACCCCCCCCCCCCCATATTCATGTAGAATTTCATCCTCGATTTAAGCCCAACCAAAGCAACAAGGTTCTGAACTTGTATTTAAAAAAGGAAACTTTTACAAGGAGCTTAAAATGGGGGGGGGGTGTTTGTTTTTTATTTCCTACATATTCCCATGTAAGACTCTGATCACCCTACCCACGGAGACCACGATTTGAACAAACTTGAATCTTCACTACACGGGGACGATTACATAATTTTATGAATAACAATAGCCAACTGTTCTCAAAAAGTTTTTTTCTCATACACGTATGTAATCGCGTAGATTATATGCCTCACTGTGGCTGCAGCCTAATTTCAGTTGCCATGACTTGAACAAACTTGAATCTGCACTATCTGAGATTTTCGCTATATATTATAATATTAATTACAATGTTAAACTTTGAGTGGCCCTACCCTACTCCGGGCTGGCCCACGGGGAGTGGGGGGGGGGGCATGATTTAAACAAACGTGAATCTGTACTACCTGTGGCCGCTTGCATTTTAATATGGCTAATCATGACCCCATTCTTCTCAAGAAAATGATTTGTAATTTCCCCCTATATGTTATGATAAAAAAATGGTAAAATGTTTGATCCCTTTTAGTCGGCTTACACTAAATACGGGTCATAATTTCGACAAACTTGAATCGAATCTGCACTTAATCGGGTTTCATATAAATTTTAATTTTTCTTGCTAAGTGGTTCTTAAAATGAAGATTTTTAAATGGTCCCACCTTATTTTTCCTTTTTCTTGATTATTTCTTCTTGAAAAGTGGAATGATGACCCTTCACAAAACCCTCTTCACCCAAATATGCCTTGTTGCAAGTTTGATTGACATTGATGCACTAGTTCTGGAGAAGTAGAATATAATTATTAAAATTTAATAGACAACAGACGGACCCACGGAGAAATGTCGATTAGAAGAGCTCACTCGAACCTTTGGCTCAGTTACCTGAGATAACAAGGATAGAATGTTTAGGGCTCTGTTATTTATTTGTTTATGTTTGTCCAAAATAAAAAAAAAGCCTCTAGTAGTAAAAAAGTTTAATATACATGCAAGGTTGCATTTGTAGTACAATGAATTACTAAGAAAAAAAAAATAACATGGATTTTCCTACACCTGCAGCTGAACAATCCGAGGGACATCGAAGGGAAACGATATGCTATCCTAGACTAGGCTGTTTTAGCATACAACCACCCTTCAACAACACCAATGTTCTACCCATGGATCCTTCATACATAGATACTAGATTCTACCTTCTCACCGACCATTCTGACCACACACCGATAACCATATCTGAAAGTGACCTAAACAGCTCTGGCGGGACCCCCTTTCAGCCAAATCTAGACTCGGTTTTCATCATTCATGGATTTTTGCAGAACGGCAGAGTTGAATGGATGTTACACATGGCGCTAGAGTTGTTGAGGCGGGTTTGTATTTATATTACACTCTACCCCCCCCCCCTTTCCATTGCATAACAGTAACTTATGTGGTAATTTTTCTTCTTTTAGAAATCTCAGAATGTTATACTAGTTGACTGGGGCAACGGATCAGGCTTCCCCTATGGACAAGCAACAGCTAACACGCGTGTGGTAGGTGCAGAAATTGCAGCACTCATTACGTCGCTAAATAATAAATTGGGCACTACTAACGCCAATTATCATCTGATTGGTCATAGCTTGGGTGCGCACGTCGCCGGATATGCTGGGTCTAGACTTCCTGGTTTAAGTCGTATTACAGGTATTACATTTCCGCGTAAATAAAAATGTTGCTTTAGCAATATATTTAATGATTTTTCTTTGCATTGATTTTTTAAATCCAAACTGACACTGCTGAAGTTGAAATTCTAAACACCTAACATAATATTTTTTCTGCACTTTTAGGTCTAGATCCTGCTCAGCCAAATTTCCAGAATTTTGATCTTCAGGTTCGCTTGGATCAAAGCGATGCTGTATTTGTTGACGCTATACATACAGATGGATCTGATTACAACACATTGTCAGGTGAAGTAATAAATCCAGTCTCTAAAATTGATAAAGGTTAATAGGCAAGGTTTAAAAAAGTCATTCAGAGTAAAAGTTAATATGATTAAAGGTCCGAACCATGTCCTCCAATTTTCAAATATGAATAAAAACTTTATAAACACAAACTAAAGGACTTTATACAGAAAACAATGCCTTTAACACACACTCAAAGTCATTATTCTCTTACTCATCAACTGAAATTCTGAAATTAGTCAAATTAATATATAAGCATCCAATTTTGTTCAAAGCCTAATTGCTATGGTTGGTCAACTATATATATATATATATATATATATATATATATATATATATATATATATATATATATATATATATATATATATATATATATATATATATATATATATATAGTCAATTTAGCTAGACATACGGTCACGGTTGTAATTGACTTACAACGTGGAATTAGAAGTTTGATCTATGTAAAAAAATATATATATATAAACTTTTAAAGCAATATCGCCTTAATAAAAAAATATATGTACTAGTTTATAAATTTCTCTGAATATATATATAAAAAAATGTTTATTCCTTATGTTGTGTTTGTGGTTTATGGACAAGGTTTTCTGTTAATATGATTGAATCATTTTCTTTACGTCCAGAAAGTAGATCTTGTAGAAGAAGTGAGAAAGAAAATGTATCGAAAAAACAGCACGACGTCGTTAATAAGAATATTATAACGATACAGCAATTTATCGTTTGAACGGAAATCATTACACCACTTGTCAAAGACCGTTTATGAAAACAAGAAAACACTATAGAGCCTAAGCAATGCAAATACGGGAAAGCTGGACTTTTGATTTCCGATCACTGTAGATTAAAAAAAAAATCTTACATAATCCGAGCAGCATATGGATATCAATAATTGCAATACGCCTGGCTAAAAGACACGCAGATCGAGTTTACTTTGGGAAGAAATCAGTTTGTTTTGTATCTTATTACCGTTCACGCCTTAGAGAGGCTGATAACAACAAGAATCCCATGAAAAAGTTTATCGCAGTGAGATATCAAGGAAAAATAAATACAAGAGCATGGAGAAAACGAGGTCATTTAGTTTAGATTGGTCATTGAAGCATAGATGTACTCAGTTAGGAATTACAGTGTATGTATTTTCGATAGAATTTGCACAGTACATATTTTGTTCATTTTATGCATTGCTTTTCCGCAAATGTTCATAGCACTGTGAACTTTGTATGTTAATATACAAGTAAAATGTATGTGGAGTTTTACAAAACTTTTTTTTATAAAAAAAAAAAAAAACAACAACTCCAGACACCTAAAAATAAAGTAATGTGTGTGTATGTGTGCGTCTGTAATTTTATTTTAGTTGTGTTGTTTACTTGCTTAGAATTGTAAAAAAAATCTTTATAAATTTGATAATATAAACGATTTCTTTGCTAATACGCAAGTTTCGAGATTGTAGCTCTCCAACGATAGAGGCGCAAATATTATCCATATCAGCATGGAAGTGGGACAGGTTGTCAATGCAATGTACACAAACCTATATAAATAAATGAACGATGACTAGGGCTCTTAAAATTCATTTATTGTTATAAATTGATTATAAGGTCAAACCGCGAAGATTGATAATTTTACTGAGCTCTACTATAAAAGTTTTAAAAATTTATTTTCAATTAGGATACTTGAAAACAAAAGAACCGTCATAGTTTTTAACAAATTACTTCGTGAAATAGACGCTTCCTTGTTGGTACTAATTAACTTTTTTTCTAAAAAAATTGTGGACTCTTTGAAATTATTATAGTGGAAAGAGTCGGTGTGTCATTCAAAGTACCGTGCAGTGATCAGATGCAAGTGTATTTACCAGCTGTTTATTAGAGATCCATCTAGAGCTCTTCTTCGCCTGATAAGCCTTATCCACTGATATTTTCCTTTTTTCCGATCTTTTTGGTAGTAAGAAATTGAATTTACTCAAATTGGGTTATTTGCGAGTTGATGAGTGCATCCCGACAAACAGTTATAATAGACTGGCATATCCATGATGTAACGTTATAAAAAAAAAAACTGTCCCACCTGCCGGTTTACGGGGAAACAAAACTCCCCTCCGTAACGAAAAAAAAGGTAGATAATCTGGAAATTATTACAGCTATATTTATTATTGCTTTATTTAATTATAAGTTGTATTGTGTTTTAAAATACGATATAATAATGAGATTTTTAACACAATTTATTGATGGCAATGGCAACTTCAATCCTGCGATCAACTATAAAACTAAAAAGAGCAAAACATTTTGATAGTTATTAACCTAAACTAAATTTACAGTCCATCGGTTTCAAAGACATCATATTTCCGTTCTGTTGTTTATTATGTGATTATAAACATTTATATAGCGTTTCTCATCGGGGGAATTACTTTGACCCATCCGTCCGAATCCTCAATAAACCATCAAACTGCAGTAAGGGAGGTTTTACAATCTGCCAATGGGTTGACGGTATTGCTCAGACCGAAATATAGGATACAATAACAATGCTTTATTTTCTTAAAATATGAATTGTTTGAAATTTGTTGAAGTAAAATCAATGTCATAATCCGAATCAAATTATAAAAAGAAATCACCCATGCCACAGGTCAATTAAATGTAGATGCAACATCGAGCATAATAAACATGCCAAATATGTCTGATTTCAAGCAGCTATTGAGAGAAATTAAATATTGCAGTTTCAATTACTAGTAATTTCGGATTCTCTTTCCATTTTTTAAGGACAAAACAACTTATTTTTATAGATTTTTAAATAAAATATTTCACTTATTTATCATACAGCAAATCTTTGGTGAAAATTTAATCCCTACAGCGCTGGTACGATCACCCTATTTCATTTCAGCAATTGATAAGTGTTGTAAGCTGTATACTGAGAACTTAGGCGTCCTTTCTGTGTCATATAACTTGCCTTTCTTTTTTAGAACCACACAAGCACTGATCAATACATTTACTCTGTTCAGTGAAAGAGAGTGCCACTTAATACCCAGGAAATTGTGTTTATTCTACTCAGGAGATACATAATCTTTTATCCTTACAGAGAAATGACATGTATGTGTGTAACTTGATTTATATAATGAGCCCCCCCCCCCCCAATGTTTTTTTAATCGAGTTGAATGAAGTGAATGTTCAAACTACTAATATTTTAATCGTGAAGCGACCTCAAGTGTTTACCTAATTTGACCCAGAGATATTTTTGTACATGTAGGTATGAAAACTGCATCCTACGATCGAAATTTAAACACTAATGAAAGTTGACTGCAATTAAAACAGCCATATATCTCCTTCTCAGACACATTTTACAAGAGAAAACGGGAAGACCTAATATTCTTCATACTATGATATATTAAAACAAAAAGTCAAAGGGCCTCACCACTTACGTAAAGTTTTTTCTGTATGTATTTAAAACTTTCCTTGCGATGCACGGCATACAGTGTACGGATATATTTGTAAAGATGGGTGAGCAAGGCGATCGAAATGCATATTATGCGACAATAAGAAAGGCAAACTTTCGTTGATATTTCATTTATGAAATAGCATACAGCCGTCACGATATCTCAGTCGGTCGAGCGCTCCTCCGTGATCGGTAGGTTATGTGTTCGAATCACGGCCGCGTCCGACCTAAGTCGACACAAAATAGGTAGCAACTGTTACTTCGCCAAGCGCTCGGCACTATGAAGTGAAAGTTGTGGGTCCTTCGGATGAGATCTTAAAAACCGAGGCCCCGTGTCACGGTAGATGTTGGCACGATAAAGAACCCTCACTGCTCAATGGCCCTGAGTACCGAGTAAAGGTCTAAATTTGAAGCCCTTCACCAGTATATGGTGACGTCTCTATATGAGTGAAACATTCTCGAACGGGACGTAAAACAACATACAATCAATCAATTGATGAAATAGCATACGCATTCCAAAAAGGGTGACAATGATCATTTCCTAATACTATAACAATTTTTCCATTTGAGTGGGTCTTCGCTACAGTTTTGGAAATATTATACTCACAGGTATGCATTTTTTGATTAACAAAAATATGAAGCAAAGACACGCTATAACTTAAAAATATACATTCATGACATAACATTCGTATCTTTCCGAGAAATATTTCTATTAAGTCAAGGGACATGTCAAAAATATGAATTAAATGCCGATATTTGTCATGAGCTTATAGTGTAATGGTTAGTTAGTATCTAAAGAAAATGGGTACTCAGGATTTATAATGCTTGGGCTCGAAGTAGCTGCAGATCTATAGGTTGCTGGTTTGAAAATAAATGGGATGGACGACAAGATGTTTTGTCGCCTGTTGGGATCAGTCCTAGGCATTCTGCTCTCCCGGGATAAGCCTGGAGTGTTGGATGTGTTCATGTCCTTAGCGATCAGCCCTAGGTATGGTCAGAGTCGAGCATCCAGTTTTTTTTTTTTAGAACAGGGAGATTTGCAGCTTGGGTTCGACGCTGAAGAAAACTGTATTTTAAAAAATCATACAATGATTTTTGCCTAAAGAATTCTCCGCAGAAATTTTTTTGTCATAATTTCATACATGTACTTATCAAGTCGCCCGCTTGGCGCAGTGGTTAGAGCGTTTGCTCTAGAGTCGCGGAATAAGGAGTTGATTCTTACGTTCGAATCCCACTGTGGGACGAGGAGACCGGTCCTTAAACTGAGATCCCGTGTCACAGTAGATGCTGGCACGAAAAAGATCCCTCACTGCTCAATGGCCCTGATTGCCGAGTATGGGTCAAAATTTGCAGACCTCCACCGGCAAGTGGAGGTGTCTCCATATGAGTGAAAAATTCTCGAGAGGGACGTTAAACAACACACAAACAAACAAACAAACATACTTTTCAATGATAAGAACATGTCTCAATACTAAATTCACGAACTGAATGTAACTTTTATACATTTGAAGCTATAGGCATTTTGCATGCCCTGTTTTCCCATCTACTTTGATATTTTTGGTTTGTGGCTCTCTCTGAGCAAAAATGTTATAAACGACCCGACCATATCTCAAATATTTTTCAAATAACTCCACTTGTAAGGCAGCTTGGCCCTTCAAGTGAAAAATTGTTCCTTTTTATACAAAGATATGTTATTACTAGTTTGGTTGACAGTAGTTCTAAAGTAGATCAGACATACAGAAGTCAGAGAGAAAAGCTTTTATCCAACAGTGAACTAGAATGCTCCAAGGAACGCATTTGTCGCCTGCTATATAGCCTCACTGAACATGTAAATAATCTATGAGTGTTATTTATTTGCCACTAGCATTATAGTTCACGCATTTGCCTGCAAGGAATAAACAAACATCCATGGATAGTAAGATGCGATAGAATCTGACAATCAAATATATTTATGATTGCCAAACCCTCAAAGCTAAAATAAATAATGAAATTATTAGAAAAATATGTATATTTTTTTATTATTTTATTAATATGTGTCTTATCAAACAATCCTCCAAAAGAGATTTCAGTCTGTCTTTACTGCAATTGTCAAGTCTGCACGATCCATTTTGGAATCCCGATCCCGATATATTTTCATAGTACATGTATCTCTGGTAACTTTATATCAAACAGTTTCAATGTAAAGTGCCATGAGTTCATAAACATGTACAAATGCTTACTATCAAATCCTTGCCTCTCAAAATTCAAAAGACATCGGTTAAATCAAACCGTCCGGAGTATTTCTTGTAAGGTAGGTCAAAGGTCAAAATCAAGTGGACTATAACGTTGGTATTTTTCAAAATGTTTACGACAATCAGTGTATACATACTAAATACCATAGACTAACCTTTTCTTATGCCAAAAATGTTGTATATCAGCACTGTTAAGTATTTTGAAAAGTGGGTCAAAGGTCAAGTTCAAGAGGTCGGTAACTATGGTATTTTGCAAAAGCCATAGTGCCAAACAATATATGTGCAATATCCATACCTCTTAAAGTTCTTACGATATAAGGTGTGACAGACAGACGCCGGGTAAAGTGATCCCTAAGTGTCGCACTGCTCCGCAGGCGACACAAAAATCTCTCTTGACTTTTGATGTGAAGTAGAGTAAACGCATTCCTCTAAAATGTTTATCCCTTGTTCGTTCAGTATGGAATTGCATTCAATTCGAAAATGATTAGATAGAAAGCATTATTAGTTTAAATCTGTAAAGTTGGCATAAGACACTAGTGATTTTTGATTAAGAGATACTGTGCTGTTTAACCTGTTTATGTCTATCAAAGTCATATTACTCTGGAAATTAATGTAATCAGATAATCAGTTTTTGTGCAAAAACATCAAATTAATTACTTAACGATAAAACAGTAAAATTGAATACCAACAGGATATGGTATGATGCTTCCCGTGGGACACATGGATTTTTACCCTAATGGCGGAAGCAATCAGCCAGGATGTCCAAGACAAAGCCTCATGAATATCATATCTGAGGAATACGAGGACGGCACGTACGGTAGAAAACAGTCATTTCTATTTGTCTCCAATATTACTAGATTCTTCAAATTTTATTGTTTGAAAATGATCCGGTCACAATTTGTTTGCACAGAATTTCAATAAAGAATTTTTTTTGTAACAGTCAATGAAACATTATTGAACAAGTAAAACACAATGAATATGAAAAATCAATTTTCTACGCCCTGTTCGACTTTTAGAGGACATGTTAATGTTCTATTAGGCCATAATTGTACCTTATTTTACGTAGAAACGGGCAATATAATCAGCTGTAGCCACAGTCGCTCCATCTTTTTGTTTACGGAATCCATCAACGACCCCTGCCCATTCACTTCCTTTCAGTGCTCCCGAACACACGACTTCTTGGCGGGAAACTGCTTTGACTGCGGAGACCTGCCCTGTCCCAGGATTGGATATGATGCAATCAAGTATAGAGCCAGAGGAAAATTTTATCTGGCTACACGATCAAGAGCTCCATATTGTGGTAATACATTTTTAACGATGTTTGTCAAACAAATCTATGATTCATACAAAAAAACTAGATAAAAGTGCTGTAAGATGATATATTGGATACAATCAAACATAGACACATGGGAAAATTTATCATGATTACTTCTAAACGACATGTTCTATTTTTTGCATTGGCTTTTAATCCCATCCCAGCAAACATGTAATTGGGACCTAATTTTGCTTCCGTAACGTGTGTGCTTGTGTTTGTCCCACCAGTTGGCTGTCGAATATATTCTGACCTTTCAGTCCCACACTTCATAGGTAGAATGACAGAGTGTAGGGTGATTTGAGGTACAGAGTGTACAAGTCTTTTGATACCAGACTCAAAAGGTCAAAGTTTTGCCTAGTCTTTAACAGTATTGTGGATATTATTAAATGTATCATTTTTAAACTTGCCAGAGGGATTATAGATAAATAGATTATTTTAGAGTGGAAAGTCAAGGTCAAATTTATCGTGATTCCTTAAAATTAACACAGTGAACATTAAATGTCAAATACAATCTTATTAGGAAAGCTTCCAAATAAAACTGTTCCGGTCTAGATATGTGGATCTTACAGTCTCATACCTGCAAAGTGGAAACTAATATTGGAAAATAGTATACATGTTTTTGTTTGATAGTCAAAAGTCAGGGTGAAAGAATTTGATAGTTGTAAACTAAATTGCGTTTACAGTTTAAAGAATATAATCTGACCTCGCACCACTTGTTACGGAGTTGAAATACAAGAAGGTACATGTTCGGTGCCCAAGGGAAGAAGCCAATCGAATTCAGGGAATAAACTTCAAAGATTAAGTGCATTTAGCGGTACTAATAATATTGTGAACATCATATTAATAGAAACTGTTCATTGAATGAACACGAGGGGTAACTTTAGTATCCTTGTTAAGATAATTTTCATTTGACATCAGTGATACTTAAATGCTGTATTTCTAATATGGACAACTGCATATGTTCTACAAACGACCCTTCTTTATTCAAACAAGGGCCCTTTCTTAGTCAAAAACAAAAGTCATTCATTTTGGTTCAGATATTTTATTTGATTTAAAAAAAATTGAAGACAAACAGTATAAAAGCAATATTGCATCATTAACATGTCAACTTTTAGTAATTGCAAACATTTAAAACTTGCATTAATTTGAAAGTTATATCGAAAGCCTAATTATGTACAAACACCATTTTATTCAGTAAGTACACAAGCAAGTTACTGATAAACATACAGGTATCAATGCTTATGCTGATTATATTTTCTTTTCAAGTAAAGAGAGGATTACCCCAGAAAAAAGATTAGATTCAATAAAATAATTTTGAGTAAGTGTCTAATAGACCTAAGGATTAAAAGATAAGAGTTCTGATTTTTTGCCTTGATCAGTGTTTTTTACCCTTAGGACACCAGTATCTGGTCCGACTGGAACTTGGGACTTTTCAGCCAACGTACGGAACTTTGAAACTAAAATTTCTAACTACTAGCGGTTTATCGGATTCTGTTGTTTTTAATGGGTATGTATGGTATAATTTGGCATCCCTTAGTGCAAGGAGAATGCTTGATTTTTTTTTTTATTAATTTTCATAATTTCTGAACATTGTACAATGAAACTTTAAGCATAAAATTATGTGATAATTCTTCTATTGAATCTAAGTTCTTATATATAAAAGTGAACAATTTTTAATTATCTTGAATATTTTCAAGATTGGAACGACCTTTTGCATCTGGGCAGACTCACAGCGCCATGTTGGTAGAGCTTAATAAATTAGGAAGTATTCGACAAGCTCAACTTGAATTTCACGAACAGAGCTCCTTCTTCTCTTGGGGTTATGACAGAGGGATTGCCATACAGAAAATCACCGTCACCACGGCAGATACAGACAAGTCGTAAGTACCTTGTACAAAGACACTTGGTTAAAGCTGGAATAAACTAGTAAGCATGAAGGGGAAAAGTCAGCAGTTGTGAAAATGCAAAAGAAGGGGTATTCCTCTTTTTATTTAACAGTTTTGGAAGGATGTGTGTATAAGGTTGAAATTGCATATGCAGGTATTTTAACAGAGAACACAGGTCAAGTTTGAATTTGGTCCTGGTCTGATGATTTTGACAGTTATCCCCCTTGAATTTGGAAAAGATTTAAAAATTCACTTTCTAATCATTATCTCGGCTACAAATGTGCAATTAACAATTTGCTGTGTCTATTTATTATCTTAGTTACAAATGCACTTTTTGTGCATAACGTATGCATAACGTATGCAAACAAAGAAGAAGATATGGTTTTAGCTTTATTGTGCCCTAAAAATTTATTGTTTTCAAAAAGTTTTGAAACTGGCTTAAATATTAGTTGAGTATATGACTGTAATAAATCAGGAAAGAATATAGCATGATGGAGTACCATTCTGGATATATGACGTCATTAATTTGATGCATTTCTCTATTTTAAACAGAAAAAGCCTCAAAATGGCCCATTTCAAGGGTTATTTTCGTTAAGGAAATAGTGTCCACAGCCGTCGCCCACGTTAATTTTTAGATATATATTTTGTAAAATTCTTTGAAAAATCACATATCTCAAAATCTTTGTGGGCGATGCCTGTGGACAATATTATCTGAAAGAAAATTCCATTGAAAATTGATGTCTTCTGCAACTTTTTAAGAAAATACGGGAAAATGCACAAGTTTATGACGTCACAATTAGCATTTGGAAGGTCATGTGAGAAAAAAGATTTGTATGATCTTTCTGCATGGAATTTCAATAATTCAAAAAGCATGAGTTTTAATTTTTTACATCACTTTTATTTTTAAGAAAAACACAGGGCAAGATTTGTATTGAAACCATACCTTGTTCTTTAAAACTAAATGTGGCATTTGAAATTTTGGCTGCGTGGGGGCATTCGTAACGTTATGACACATCTAGTTATAGTATACTTTCCAGAATATTTGAGTTTGGTCAAATTTGCTCGTGTAATCACGACACTTTTTGCATAAATTGCATATATACATGTATATTTACACGACTGTATTTTAGACTATTAAAAGAATGAGGGGCCTTGATTTTTACGTAACATGGGAATGCTGGAATGCATATATACTTGCTCCTAAGAATTTTTCTTTGAAAACCTTATTGTGACCCTGTTCATCACTTAACAGAATAATTAAATGACCAGTAGCTTCTACATTCTCTCGAATCTTTTTCCATGTCTGCTATTTAGAAAAACTTTGGTTCCTATTAAATATCTATCCTAGCCCCAGGTATCCTTTTTAAGAAAATTATTGAATAAGACAGTCTGGTCATGAGCTGCGTCATTTTTAGTGCACTGAAGAATGAATTCCAAATCCAATTACAAAGCATCGAATATCTTCCGTGTATGTTGGAAAGATAAAACACGTACAATACAACCTGCTAAAACTTAAATACTCAAATGAACTTTACTTCCAGGGTCTACTTTTGTGGAAACCAGTTAAGAATGATGTCGGATGAACACGCTGGACTTCACAGACCGCAGTACACTCCAAACTGTTAAAAACATTAGAAAACAATTTTACTATTGTTCAATTGTCTAGTCTTTAATGATTTATATGTTTATGTAATTTTATTGGGTATAGAAATAAAAATGAATGTCGTTACGATATATGTAGAAACGTCATACTTATTTTAGATCTATATTTTTATACGCTACTGAATTGTTCTTCCTATTATTTTTGAAAATAACATTTAAACCAAATACTAACATCTTTGCAAATGATTTAGTTTGACCAAATAAAACTGTTTTTAAACAAAGCAATATTTAAGTTTTTGTCTAATACATGTACTTTGCGCTTTTTGAGATGTTTAAGGTTCCCCTCCCTCTGTTTACTGACTCGTATAACATTTTGCCTTTCGTTACTTAACGCTTACAATTTTCCATGTGAAATGATTGCAGATGCGCAGAATTTCAGCATTCTTTGCAAAGTTTTTGCCATTTGTATAAAGGACTAATAGTCAGTGATTCAAGTGAGAGTTAAATCTCTTATCAAAGGGTCAATGAACCTTAACTCGGCTCCAATTAAATTTGATGTTAATTCTTTAGTTTTTCTTTACAATTTCAGCGGATACAAAGGTTAATAACATTGATTAGAAATATGATTGATGTATTCATTGCACAGAAGACAATGACCTGGTGAACTTTATTTCATGGTTTTGTATAATAATGTTATCTCTAGCAGATCCCGGGTCACAGCGCTGTGTAACACAAATCTGTCATCATGATATACAGTTTGTACGTCCTGTTATTATTAATTTCGACTACAAGAGGTTTGTAATGCTATTCTTTTTCAACTAAAGAATCTGAGAGCTATAGTGCACTTAATGTCATACACACGTATTTTGGAGTGAAAATATATCTTTTTCGCGATAATAATGTCTATACCAATATATGTATGTTTCAATAACATTATAAGATCATTTTGCAAGGAGGATTAATCAAATTGTCACAAATCCTTGAAGAGTTTAAGTATATATAAATCAAAACACTGTTTTCATTGATCAATACTGTTCAAAAGATCGTTTCATCTCATTTGACTCCGCACGAAAATATGAAATCGCAAAATTTTGATAAAATCAATAGCATCGAATGTACGACTTTTCAACACTTTCTACAACAATTCCACAGTGACTAAAAAGACCAGGCTTTTTGACAATATAGACAACTGCTTCTTAAATAAAAATTGAACTCGTGAATTTGCATACTTTGACATTGGTCACCTGCAAACTTATTGTTAAAATACTTCCTGATTCTACACACTAGTTGTAACGATAGATGCTCGAGTTTCTCATTGCCAATATCTTTGAAATTTTTCAACAGTCTGGTTGAATTTCAATGGGTACTAATTGTGCCCCGTTATGAGCAAACCTATATTGTATTCATATAAAGCACAATTCTACTCATTTAAAATCTTCTACATGAAAAATATGTATCTTTTTCTGTGGCCTTCAATTCGACATATAAATTGATCATCTGGATATAGTTTTTTTTTGTTCCCAGTTGATGCGATACGCAAGATTATGTTCTACGAATGAACAATCTCTAAAACGAGGCAGTCTATTGACAAATAAGTTGATGATACAAGGATATTATGTTTAAAGTCAACATTTCGTAAATTCTGTGGTCAAATAAAGTGACCTTGTTTCCAAATACAATGTTCAATCTGTAGTTAGGTCAAATGTTGACTGATGTCTTTCAAACTAATTGTTAGGCCATTATTTTCAATCTGAACATTGAACTGTCTGCGGATTTTTCCTTTTACATCATGACAAGAGGCACACGGCGGGTGTGACCGGTTGACAGGGGATGCTTTCTCCTCCATGACAAATGATCCCACCTCTATCTTCCGAGATCCGTGTTGGCTCTGCTCACAATTTGTGTTCTTTGATCATTGTTCGTTATATTCATATTTTTTAAAGCTTCGAAACTCGGTTACGTAACTTTTTTTCATAAGTTGATCTTAATACGTCTGTTTTATTTACTTGAAGGTTTCCTCTTTTCCCGTCAAGTCTGTTACGATCACGTCGGCTGTTTTAGCAATGCTAGACCGTTTAATAATGCCAAAGGTCATCTGCCAGAGTCGCCGAGTCACATTCAAACTAAATTCCTGCTTTACACAAGGCAAAATCCCTCACATGCGCAAATGTTGAATCCATACGATCGTTCAACAGTTTCTGGATCTAATTTTAATGGACATAAAAATACTGTGTTTATCACTCATGGGTATCAAGATGATGGTCACGCACCGTGGATTCGAACTATGACAGCTGCATTCCTGAAACAAGTAATTCATTTTTAACCATTTATAGCCATTGCTTTATGGATGAGATTGTAACTTACCAAAAATGAATTCCACAAGCGATTTTTGATATATGTCCTTAATGTATAAGGTTTTCTTTTCAAGTTACACATTACATTCTTAGAAATATATGAAGATATTTTGAAATATTTTGGACACCTTTTTTTCAAGGCCGATATGAATGTTATAGCAGTGGACTGGTCTAAGGGAGCAGACAACATTAACTACATACAAGCAGCAGCCAACACCCGGGTAGTTGGAGCTACCATAGCCAATCTCATTAAAGAACTACACAATACGGCTCACCTGCCGTATAACAAGGTACATCTGGTGGGGCATAGTCTTGGATCCCATATATCAGGCTATGCTGGTGCTATTGCACATGGAGTTGGTCGGATAACAGGTAACCCTAAAAAATCTCTTCACAGAGACAATCAAATTACTCATTTAAGAAAAAACGTAGCTAAATATGCATAAATTTGTATATTGAAATATAGTCAAATCACAGGCAAGTTGTATCATGAAAATCGATGAACGAAAGACATTTAATATCTCTACAAAACTGGAATATTATAGGGACATGTGACGGTACATATTGTCGTTCTGTACATATTGTCGTCGGCGACAATATGTACCTATCCTCACTCCACATACTGTCGTCCATCGGTACATATTGTCGCCGGTGATAATGTACCGAGACGAACCTTTTTTTCTTCCTGCATAATGGACGACAAAATGTACAGTCACGCATCGGCACATATTGTCGTTGGCGACAATATGTACATGCCCTTGGAACATTTGAACATTTTGTCGCCGATATACTAGTTTTGCGTTGAAATTATATTTACTAAGGTCGTGGAGAGAGAGAGGCAAACAGACAGACAGATGTAAAGACAAAGTGCATGACAGATAAATAAGTAAACAATTTGTATTTAGTTATTTAACAATTCTCGCGATACTGTGGGAAGAAAAGATTTTGGTCCGAAAAATTGTGTCCAGGATTGGTGTACACCACTATGATATACCAAGATACCGTGATACACCTTGATATATCTGATAAATCAGCCTTCTTCTTTCTCTTTATATATACTTGGAGAAACTTGGACTTGGAGTTAATTTTTTTACTCAGTTTTAATGATTATCTGGGGGGAAAATTGCATTATTTTTATACATGTGCCGATATAATTGGGGTTGGGATCAAATATTTTTGGTTACTGAAATTCCCAACTTTCCCCCAGAATTATAAGAAAAACTGCCTGCACGATAATCGGAAGTTATTTTTTCAATACGATACATTCTTGAATATTGATACGTATCGATATATTGACACAGCCCTAAATGCGACATGTACATGTACCGATGGACAATATGTGCAGTGAGGATAGGCGCATTTCACTAAAAGTACAACGCATATACATGTATCCTGCACTTCTCTCAAGGCCTTCTCTCAAACTGTTTTATTTGAATTCGCTGACGCATAATTTCATCTTCACAACATTCTACTACTATTTCGTACAGATAATAAATGCATTACTGAAGTATAGATTCAACAGGAATAGTTCATTTGAAAGATACCGAAGTCGTATAACATGTAACACTTAATATAACAAATTATAATATCCTCCTATCCTAGGGCTGGATCCTGCTGGACCTCTTTTTGAAAATTTTGACCCCGAGACCAGACTTGATCCTACAGACGCTTTGTTTGTAGAGGCCATCCATACTGACGCAGACTCTCTGCTTGAACTAGGTATCGACTTCTTCATAAAATCTTGATTTACATTGTAGTGTGAGGAACACAACAAAATGTTCCTATACATTTAGTAAGTAAAAAATGATATGATCAAATGGCCCGTTAGCTCTGTCGAATAAAGAATTACATCATTTATAAAAAGTAACTACCAATAATTGAAATTTTTACTTTCAGGGTTCGGTTTAGAGAAGGCCATAGGCGATGTTGACTTTTATCCTAATGGTGGCGAGAAGCAACCCGGATGTAATAGGGAGATTGGAAAGCACCTTTTTAGTCTCATCACCGGCAGAATTGAGCGTTTGTAGTCTGATCGATATTGCTTTTATTTAATTTAAGAGAATATTTGTTAAGGTCTCTCAAGAAAAACAAAGCTACTTTTAATATTATACACTCCCCCATGTCCAAATCAGGACAGACTTTCACAGAGGAGTACTAGTTTATTAAAATAATTTGTTACATGGACATCCAACCTTCTGTATTTATAACTGTCCATTAGAATTACTAAAAGTAGGATCTTTTAATTTGTGTGAGTTCACAATAAGCGATTGCATTTATCGACATTTCAATTCTCAGAAAGAATATGACTCAGACGAACGTCGTGGCCTATTCAGCTCTTGTTTATTTACTGTGCTGAATCATTTTATTCATGAGTTAGTAATTATTTTCCAAAAAACTTCAATTATCAGAAAAAATATTTTGCTGAGAATCATTTTTTTCTTAAAATTGTGTTCACTGGAACAGGATAAAACTATAACGCTAAGACAGCGTTACCAATGGTGGGGTACATGTACGTACCGACCATGTTCATTATGTATGTGCATTCTGATTGTGATAACGCAATCAAGTATTATCTTATAATTTATCTGTACATGTACAAACAATAAATGGTCACCGTTCCACAAACTTGCATTTGATATAACAATTCTATGACAGGCGTCGGAAGCAAATTGAAAGTGGGGTGGCTAATTGAAAGTGGGGGGGGGGGGGGCTAAACCAAGATAAAAAGGTAAGCCCCAATTTTCAATGCCTAGATTATGTCTATCTTTGCAAAAAAAAAGTTGGAGGGGGGGGGGCTAAGCCCCACCCCCATCCCGGTTCCGACGCCTGTGTATGAAGAAGTACCTATACGGGGCAAAGTTTGAAGGGTATGGAAATCCGGAAAAATGCTTTCATAAAACCCTATGCCTGTTGCGTATCTGAGGACCGAAGATTTTAGAAAAAAGATTTCTCACAAGCTGAAGCGACATTCCTGCATGTCGTGCAAATTTTAATTCAAATGACGAGAAATTCAGGCGCGTAAATGACCGGATGAATGATAGCATGTCTATCAATAGTTGTTTTCGTATCTCATTTATCTTGTTATTAGTCCCCTACCGGTGAAACCGGAGGGGACTATAAGTTTCCTCTGAGTCTGTCCGTCCGTCTGTCTGTCTGTCCGTCTGTCTGTCTGTCTGTCCCTCTGTCTGTCTGTCAGTCTGTCCCACTTGGTTTTCCGCACTTTTTTCCTAAACGCTTGCAGATATTGAGCTGATTTTTGGTATGTGAGTGTATCTTGATGAGTTACAGATCAAGTTTGCATTTCGTTCCGCTTCATTGATTTTTGACGGAATTACGGCCTTTTCAATTTTTAAGGGTTTTCCGCAATTTTCTTCTAAACGCTTGTAGATATTGAGCTGATTTTTGGTATGTGGCTTTACCTTGATTAATTATAGATCAAGTTTGCATTTCGTCCCGCTTCATTAATTTTTGACGGAATTATGGCATTTTCAATTCTTAACGGGAACGGAACCAGATTACACTTGCCGGTAGGGGACTAGTATTGCTAATGCAATACTCTCAGAATGCTTGTTATGATAAACATTATTGAATTTATCAAAGTTTCATGCGGAGTCCACATACATGAATTCTACATTTCACTTTACGCTTGACATCCTTTAATTCTTGTTCCAGTTGTTATAAATCAGTTTTTAATCCGTTAAGGTCATACGTTTGTTTATGTAAAGTGTTGAAATCTATCTGAAAACTCAGTTTAATCAATAAATTAATGTGAATTTAAAGTTAACTTTGAATATTGCAATTAATAACTACTGTATATAAGGAATGTATTAAAACAGTATATTGGGAAAAATTATCCTTTTTTCCCTGTTTGCTCTTGTTTTTCAGATTTCACTAGTAGCATTGCCTGCAGTCATATGAGGGTTCTAGATTTCTTTACCGAGTCCATTACGTCACCATGCTCATTCACTGCATATCCATGCTCATCAAAGGCTGACTTCACTGCAGGACGATGCCATTCCTGCGGACAACATGGATGCTCAAAAATGGGTTACCATGCCAACAGTCACCTGCGTGGTACTTTCTATTTGTCGACCAATGCTGCTTCACCATTCTGTCAGCATTAATTTATGTTTTCGAGAACAATTGTATTTTGGAATAAAGGTTCGTTGGCAAATATAGTATGTCTATTTTTTTTAATCTGCAGAATTAGATTTTCAATGTATCCACAATTCCAAATTATATATATATATATATATATATATATATATATATATATATATATATATATAATCAGTATTTTATTATGTAAAGTCAGTTTACATAATTGGACTGGACATCAGGCATGGCCTGTGTAAGTCCTATCCAAGAACGTCATATATATATATATATATATATATATATATATATATATATATATATATATATATATATATATATATATATATATATATATATATATTAGGGAAGTCAAATTGGTCAATTTTTGATAATCGGTTACTTGAACGTTTTTCCGATCGAGTATCCGGGTACTCGGTACATGTAAAAATGTAGTAATTTTCTTGAGCCACGTTAAGCTACATGTATGTTAAACCCCACAGCTGTTTTTATCACGTTTATCAATGTATGTAAACATTAAGTCTAATGGAATTGATTTTTGGTACTAAATTTATTTATCAAATTAACACAAAAGACACAATTTATACATTAAAAATTACAAATGGTTTACAGTTCTTGTTTAGGATCTATTTCATCAACGCAAAAGGAGGACAATCTGTTATGCAGGTTTGTGATGATTAGACTAGCGAAAGGGAAAGAACGGACGTTGTTGGTTCGCTAGTCTAAGTTGGTTGTTTCCCCCGTGTAAACTTACTACACAATCTGACTTTCAACGTTTTTTTTTTCAAATCTTTAGTTATTTCTAAATATTTCTTCACTTTCGAAGTGGGTAGCGGCGTTTCTATGCATGTCCGATTTCGCTGCCATATATTAACTAAATAATTTAAAAATGATTTGAAGATAATAGACCATACTTAATCAAATCGATGTTCACTGAAAGCAATCATTGAAGCCATCTAATTAAGGACCACAATAAGTGAGAACAGCTGTGTACATATATATATATATATATATATATATATATATATATATATATATATATATATATATATATATATATATATATATATATATCCGAACTCCGTCACCATAAGCGGAAAACACCCCGCGTTTTTCTCCTAATTATTATGCCCCCGTAATAGAAGATTCGGGGGTATATAATTTTGGCCCTGCCCGTCCGTCTGTCTGTCCGCAAAAAATTAACATTGCCCATAACTTTTAATTTGTTGGAGCTATGGCACTCATATGTACATGTGTATTCTTTGTGACAAGACCTTTCTTTTGGTACCAACATATTTGACCTCTTGACCTTGGATTTTGACCCAATTTTGCAAGAATTTACCCAATTTTATCTTTGGCTGTAACTTTTAGAAAGTTGGTGCTAGGGCTTTCATACTTCAAATGTGTATTCATTGTGATAAGACCTTGCCATGGATATAAATATTTTTGACCTTGACCTCTGAGTTTGAACCACTTTTAAAAACCTTTAACCTTGGACTTACCTTTGAATAGTTAGTACTAGTGCCTCCATATTTCACAGGTATATTATGTGAGAAGGCCTTCCTTTGAATTGCAACAAATTCTGACCTTAGAATTTGACCTACTTTTTGAAAAACCCTAACCTTGGTCATATCTTTTGAACAGTCGGTGCCAGGGCTTTAATATTTCACATATATATATATTAAATTTTCTTATGACATGGCCTTCCCCTTGGTACCTTTAATTTGACTTGGAGTTTGACCCACATTTAAAAACCATAACTTTTTAATGGTTAGTGATTGGGATTTCATATTTCACAGGTATATTCATGGAGAACAAGTCTCTTCTTTGGGTAACAAAATTTTTCATCCGTTGACCTTGGAGTTTGACTTGCATTTGAGAAACTTCAACCTTCGCCAAAAGCTGTCATACGGGGGCATCAGTGTTTCACAAACACATCCTGTTTTATTATTTGTTTCTTGTTTGCTACTCTTAGTAATGATTTAAACATTGTTTTTACTAGTTTTTTTCCAAGTTTATTTTTTGTCCTTATTTCTTAAATTTGTAAGCATAAAAAATAGTTTTTACTATTTAAAAATAGATATAAATTGTAATTTAAAAAAGTATCAACAGAAAAAAAAAAAACGTTAATAATTATAATGTATTTTATATGTAATAATGTCGCGCTAACGTCCAACAAGCATTAAGGCAAATGTAGATAAAAAATAAGATACTTTTAGCCATATTCAAAGTTGTATGTCATGTTCCTTGCTTCGGACAACTTTAAGCAATAATTTTGTATCAATTTCCGTGTTTCGACTTGTTTCTGTCTTAAATTAGAAGATTTAAATTTGTTTATGATGCCGATTTTAATTATCATTTTGTGATACAAATACCACGATAATGGCCGTAATGTTTGACAACATCAAGAGAGCAATCAGAATTTTATTATTTTGCATTTTTTATTTAAAGTTGTCTTTCATTAGAATTCAAGGGAAAGAGTTCGTCTTGGGTGAATTTTGTTATTTTTGAAAATTTTATTATAATAGAAAATTTCAAGAAATGTCATTTAAAAGATTGTGTTAATTTTCTTAGAGCTGTCTTACTAGTATGTTCATTTCACCATGCATCGAACTCAAATTAAGGTACTCAATGTATAATGAAGGGATATTGAACAATTTTGAATCATTCTAAACTAGTTAAATATGTATTACTAGATAACTATGAAAGTGAAATGAACCAAATTCACATAACTGATAACATATAAAAAGCCGGCCATTTTGCATCTAAACGTTTTTTTGAAGAGTTATTTTCACTCGAAAAGAAGAAAATAATGTTGTGGAAAAAGATGTGGTAAATGATTGATTTTATTTCATATCAATAAAAAGAGAATTTATGCTTATTTTCATCAAGAAATTTCTATGAAGTTCAAATTACTTTTTACAATATCTTGATAACACATGCGCTGCCAATAGACTTCAATGTAAAATTCAAGGTGCAATTACTCAGTATTGGACAATAGTCAAAAATTGTTGTAAATTCCTTTGGTGGAGTATTTTTATTAGTTAACTCCTTTAAAATGCTACCATGATTAAACATATCTGATCATTTATTTATTATCATATGGTCGTTATACATTGAAAACCATTTTCATGCATCGGACAATGTCCGCTGCATGGATAATTACTTCCTAGTCAATCAAATTAAAATTAGTCAATCAAATTAAAATAAAGATTTAATTTTTAACTTAAGCATATATAACAATATTTTCATGCCACTAATTTATAAGCAGTTTAGGTTTTTTAAAGATCACCGGGATAAAGGTTTTTTCTGTTCAATATACCTTTTGTCCGAAGAATGGTGAATACTGTCCGATCCATGTTGAATTCTGGCTCATTCCAAAAAATTCGTTTTTAGATCATATTTTCTCAATTAATAGCATACAATTGTGTCTTAAATTCATATTTTAATCACGTAATACACGTTATTATATGCTCTATTTGATAATATTCGATCGCTACAACTTGTTCAAGTACGAGGGTGTCCGAGGCGTTGGTGAACTCACGCTATAATATTTTTGCATTTGATTGTAGATTTTCAGCATGCAAAACATCTTCCCAAGTTAAGGGGTTTCTGATCCACTTCGCTCCACAAAAAAACTAAGCTTGACGGGATTTACTATCGCGCCATCTAGTGAGATTACACATTTGAACTCTACTGAGCTCTGCTATTGTCCAATCAGAGCAAGCGAATTAAACAGAGAAAGCGATATACTACAGGAAGTCGGTAATAAATTCAACATAACTTTAACTAAAAGGCTGAGACAGGCCTTTAACTGGTTTTTTTTTAATGATAAAGACGTTTTCGTTGGGGCGTAGCGCAGTGGTTAGAGCGTTTGCTCTAGAGTCGCGATGTAAGGAGTAGATCCTTATGTCGCGGGTTCGAATCCACTGCGGAACGTGGAGGCCAGTCCTTCAGATGAGACCATATAAATCGAGGTCCCGTGTCGCAGTAGCTGCTGGATCGTAAGAGATCCCTCACTGCTAAATGGCCCTGAGTGCCGAGTATAATTCAAGATTTGCTTTTGTACTCCTGGACATCAAGCAGTCAAACTGTTGTCATGATTTTAATCAGCATTGAGCCTTCTACCAATATTGTGAAATTCATGGCCCCAGGGTCAGAGGTTCTGGTGCTAGGGCGGGGCTGTGAAAATGCATTTTTTTTCTTAAAGATCTTCTCCTCTGCCCCTTGGTATTAAGCAAACAAACTAAATGCATAGTTATGACAAGGAAGGGTGCCTCTTACAAAATTGTTAATTTCATGGCCCCTTGATCAGGGGTTCTGGTGTAAGGGTTGGGCTATATGGATCATATAGTGTAAATGCATAAATTCTTTTAAAATTTTTTTTCTCTCCCCCTGTATTTAAAGCAGATAAACTAGGTGCATGGTTATGATGATCAAGGGTGCTGCTTCAAAATTTTGAAATTTGTGGTCCCAGGGTGAGGGGTTCTCTGGGTGGGGGTGGGGCTCTATTGATTATGTAGTGAAAGTGCATAATCTGATTAAAAATCGTCTTCCCTGCTCCAAGGTATTAAGCAGATAAACCAAGTATATAGTTATGATGAGCAAGGGCGCCTCTTTCAAAACTGTGAATACCGGTATCTTGGCCCTTGGGTCAGGAGTTCTGGTGTTAGGGCGGGGTTCTATTGATCATATAGTGAAAATGCTTAAATTCTTTAAAAATATCCTCTCGACCTGTATATAAACAGATAAACTAGGTGCATGGTTATGACGATCAAGGGTACCTCTTCCAAATTTGTGAAATTTTGGGCCCCAGGGTGATGTGTTCTTTGGGAGGGGGTTCTATTGATTTTATTGTGAAAGTGCATTACTTCTTTGAAAATCTACTTCTCTGTTCCTATGTATTTAGCAGAAAAACCAAATATATAGTTATGATGAGCAAGGGCGCCTCTTCAAAAATTGTGAATATGTTGGTTCCTGAGTCGAAAGTTCTGGTGTAAGGTTGAGGCCCCATTC